TAAAAGAAATCCAAATTAAAGTAAGACCTTTTTTGACAAATCATAAATCATATTGGCAAAACGCTGATGATGCCTGCACTGGTGCAGTTTCGGAGCAAAGGCGTTTTTATGTGCTATTGGTGGAAACTGGGTATGGCCTTATCAGATAGCAAGCTTTATCAATTTTTAAAATATGTACTACATTTTAATTTTATAATTAAAATGTCATAGAAAAGACACTTCCACTTTGAGAATTAAAAACAGAAGGAAAGAAAGAAGAAAGTCCAGTTTTGTGTTCCCTGGGCGTCCCCCCTGTGCCATGTTCTAATTATGAAGCTGCATCTTCTCGATACCCTGCTGGCCTTGTCTTCAGTAAGCTGTGCTCCTCCTGGCTCTCCTCTAACCTGCAGCCCCGCAGCAAACGTGTCTGCCATCTACTCTTTTCTTCCCTCTCTCAACAGGTATATCCTTGAGGACCTTGTTTTTAGGCCTGCTGTTCCTCTCCCTCAACTCCCCGGTTTTATACCAAGATCACTTTTTTTGTAATTCCACCTACCAGCCATATACAGGCTCTGAAATCTATCTCTACCCTTCCCACCTATGTTTCGAGTCTTCTCATATTTCAGCAACATTATACGGCTGCCAAATTACCAGTGTCATGTTGAGAGACAACCAGAAAAAAATGTAAAACCCCCCAGGGTACTCAATATTTGCCATTCCTTATTAGTGTTTTTGTTTGGTCCTAGACTCCATCATCTAAGAAAGCTATGGGAGTACTTGATGAGAGCTTACTAGATAGCCAAGAAGACAATTTGAAGGTTAGAGAATTTATGGGTAAAGCAGAAATTGCCTTTTCCTGAGAAAGAGAAAGCTGATAAGACATTACATGGTTCTGAGTATATATGAAAAATTCTAACAAAACTGACAAGTCACTTTTCTGCACCTCCAATTGGGGGTTGGTGGGGTGGGTAGTTATTAGTTTAAGTTTTTGGCTACATACAGCAGTGCATAGCCAAATGAGTACCTAAAAAAGACCAAGAAAGACAGAGCAGTTAATTTCCTTCCATTCACTGTTATGGTTGGCACCATAACTCTGGCTTTGTCACTAGATAACGTCTACTACCTTGGTGAGGTGAAATACAGACTGAATTACATTCCACAAAATATATGGATAGAAAATTTTATGTTATATATATTTTATCAGAATAAGAAATGCTTTACCAAAACCAAAATATTTGAAAACTGCTGGAAACATACAAATGGGCAGGTTATGAAGTTAAAAACCCGCCCTGGCCAGTGTGGCTCAGTTGGTTAGAGCATTGTACCGTACACTGAAAAGTCGAAGGTTTGATTCCTGGTTAGGGTACATACCCAAGCTGCAGGTTCAAACCCCTGTTGGGGTGCATATGGGAGGCAATTGATCAATGTTTCTCTCTCTCTCTCTCCCTCCTTCTCTCCTCTCTCTCTGAAACCAATAAAAACATGTCCTTGGGTGAGGATTAAAAAAAAAAAAAGATTGATATAATTTTTTAAAACAGATAAAGAGACCCATTTAATGTATGTTTTGGATTACTAAACATGGACTGGCAATAGAAAAGTGCTGAACCAACTAGGCTCCGGAGGTAAGGAAAAATTTCCTTGCAGTGAGAGCCACCATGGCCAAAGAGGATGGTAGGGATGGTTCCTTTCTCTGAAGGTCAAACACCAGTTGAGAGTCTTAGAAATGAGAAAAATAATTTTTTAAAAATTAGTAATAAAAACAACTATTTACTGAGCCTATTTTGGGCCAGGCACTGTGCACAGTACTCATATATGTGCTATGCCATCTAACCCTCCACAACAGACCCCATAAAGGGTGTGGCTATTCTTGGTGTGTGTGTGTGTGTGTGTGTGTGTGTGTGTGTGTGTGTGTGTTTTGTTCTTAATCCTCACCTGAGGATATTTTTTCCATTGATTTTTATTTTAGAGAGAGTGGAATGGAGGGGAGGAGAGAGGGGAGGAGGAAGAGGAGGGAGAGAGAGGGAGAGGGAGAGAAACATTGATGTGAGAGACACATGATTGGTTACCTCCCGAATGTGCCCCAACCAGGGCTGGGGATCAAACCTGAAACCCAGGTACGTGCCCTTGACAGGAAATCAAACCTGAGACACTTAAGTGCACAGGCTGACACTCTAACCACTGAGAATCACTGACCAGGGCTATTCCTGATTTTTTTTTACTGGTATAGAAACGAGTGCTCAGAAAGGCACAACTTTTCTAAGAGCACAATGCCAGTATTAGATGAAACCAGGATTTGAGAAGAGCTCTCTAACTCCATAGCCCATGGTTTTTCCACTACAAAATGCTAATTTGCATGCAGTCCAGCCTGGATTCAGAGAGGGCTGGGTAATCTCACACTCCCCAGTTCACAGAGCACCTCTCCTTTTGTGAATATATTTGATGTACTCTTTCATCAATACATGACACTCATAGCTTCTGGGATTAAACTCAAAATTCAGTTTTCTAAAGAAAAAAACAGAAAGTAGCCTTTGCAAACAGTACAAAACCACTTACCACTCCAGAGAGTTTTCCAGCCGTGATGTGCATTTTAACGAACACATGGATTAAAAGTACCAATGAAAATATATACATATCAACGTTAAAGCAATCTCTCTTCATTACCCAGTCAGTGCCCTGACCCCATAAATCCTGTGGTAACATTTATAGAGTACCTACTGCACACAAGGTCATAACCTGAGTACTGTGTAAGAATGCTAAAAGATTAGAAGGTATACTCGATTCCAAAAGCTTGTAATTTTAGTATCAGAGGCAAGACAAACATATGAAGGACACTGAAGAATAAAGGTGACATGCAAATGTTACAAATGAGCATTTTAACTGACATAATGCAAACAGAATACTGATATGCTAAAGAAATAAAGAATTTATATGTTCCTAGTGAAGCTAGAAGAAGTGTATTTAGCACATTGTTTAGGTAGTCAATAAATGACTGTGAAGATAAGAAGCACCAAGTATAAGACATCCTTAATAATCAATAGGGACTTATTCTTAGGTTCATTTTTAAATACTACCAAAATTCCAAACATTACAAAAGGCAGAGTTTATCACGGAATTTAGTAATTAACATAATATGTTAAAGTAATTATAAATATATTAAAATTTTTTAAACAAATATAATATCAAGGTTCCTTCCTTTTCTTGTTAACACTTTCTCTAAACCACTTTGTCTCAGTTTTTCTTGACCAGAGTTGGGAGCCAGCTATACGAAGACAAAAACTAGCATCACGAATATGGCCAGGCTCTACACGTATAAAAGCTACACCAACAAAGGCAAGGCCACCCAGAAGAGACAAAGTAAGGAAAGGGGAGCATAAATAATGCCCATTGATAAATAAAGAAAAGTATATTTTCTAAAAGCCGGAGACCATAACTGAGGGCATGTTTTAAGATGGGTAAAGTACACAGACTCTGTCATGACTGGTTTTATATTCACCATGATTTGTTCTGGGAGTCATGTTCCTACGATTTCAAATTAAATACAAGCACACGGTCCTTCGGTGCACATCAGACGCTTTGGCTGTTATACTGCTTATTTTTTAATCCAATACAATAGTAATAAACTGAGTCGATGCAGACTCGATCATGTCCCCCACGTCAGGGCCCCTCTGTCACTCTCGAAGTATCCCTAGGCAGCTCTGAGATATAGAATCTTCACTCAATTTCTTGTCCTTCTCATTTTAATCCATTCAAAACTCCTCTGATAAAAGAGCAACTGCCAGATCTTAGACACTTTAGTCCCCCTTTGGGGAAATGAAATTGATTTTCTTCATTTTCACACAAGAGGATCCCTGGATAACAATATTGTGTCTGGTCATACTATAATAAAAAAAATGTAGGCAACATTCTTCACTATACCAGAGGCTGAAAGGTTTTGTGAGTTCCTGTGGTGGAAGTGAGAATTCAGCCTGATTTTGACAGATCATGAGTTTAATAAGTATAAGAGTGTCTTCAGACCAGGAGAGTAAGTTCTGTGGGGCATCCACCTGCTCTGAATCAGCCACAATGGAAGGTCAATCGAGGTTACAGGTGAGAGTGAGGAGGGAATTGGGTAAGGGGTCAGCTCCACATTCTCCCTAGTTTACACCTTTGATATCCCTTCCCTTCTCTTGCCTCACCACACCAAATGAACCTGCCTTTGATCCTTTGACTCTAAGGTAAAGAATATCTGAAGGCAATTTCCAAGGGGAAAATTATAACAGAAACAACACAACTTGGGGAACCTTTAACCACTTTTCTCAACTCCCAATTTCATTATTCTTTTAGGTTTTACAGAATTTCATTTTTAAAAGTTTAAAATACGGCTTATACCTAAAGAAAGAATATGAAATATTAGGACAGTAATTTATCAGTACTTTTTAAGACAAACTAACATGGACTGCAACACATCACAACAATACAAGCTACGGTGCTCTGAGGAAGGGAGATTGTGAGCCTGGAGCCCCACCAGCTGAGCCTCCCTTGCCCAAGCCCAGCCCACTAGAAACACTGACTCTGTCAAATGCCATGGATATTCACTGACCTAGAAAAAGTAACACAGACATTCAGAATATGCACAATGGCATCAAAAAATCTCCTTGTGCCTGAGGACTGCCAGAGAAGTCTCCAGAAACACTCTCATGGCTTCTGTGGGAAGAATGTACCGCCTAACAATAACTGCTTTCAAGGTAAAGCATGCAGTTCAGAAAGTATTTCCACTCCTCAGTGTTCCTGTCCCTTCATATTCCTTTATATGTCTACTACATAAAAACAGTACAAAATACTTTGGATAAACAGTTCCACAGCACACTCTAAATATTAAATGCCTAATTTTCCATAGTTTCTCTAAGGTTTTGTTGGGATGTATTTGTTAGCTGATACTCTAAAAAACTCTTCTATAAGACCAAAAATGTAATCTGTTTCTTGTCAAAGCCCAAATCTCCTTGAATAAACAACAAAATCATTTATTATACATGAGAACTAACCTGCAGACACGGGCTGGAAAATATAACTTTTGCCAAGAACGACACAGATACTGTGAATGATCAATCACTCTGATCCAATCAAGTTCATCCATGGACACTTCAATGAAGTATGAATAAGACCTATGAGTCAAAAGGAAAAAGGCAGAAAAAAGGACCATATTAAAATAACAATACAAAGGGCAAGAGCAGGATCGAGAGGTCAATGGGGGGAAAGGGAGATGTCTATAATACTTTCAACAATAAAGATAAAATTTTAAAAATTAAATTAAAAATTAAACAATACAATAAGTAAAATAACAATACAGAGTTATCTATATATATAAAAGCCTAAGTGACCGTTCGACTGGTAGCTATGATGCACATTGACCACCGTGGGCAGATGCTCAACACACAGGCATGGAACATGGAACAGACTAATGAATCTCAGAGGAAAGGGGGGAGGGGGAAGGGGGGAAAGCAGGAAGAGATTAACAAAATATTTTCTATGCATACTAGAGGCCTGGTGCATGGATTTGTGCACCATTGGGGTCCCTCAGCCTGGCTTACGTCCTCTCACAACCCGGGACCCCTCGGGGGATATCAGACTGATTCCTGCAGGCCAGGCCAAGGGACCCCACGGGTGCACGAATCTGTGCACCAGGCCTCTAGTACTTTAATAAAACATTAACAGTCACACAAAAAACACAATCTTCACAAATTACATTTTCTACATAATAATCAAATGTGGATAATGATGAAATCTATATAGATCCCCTATTATAGCATTCACCACAATGTACTAAAATTCTCTCTCAGCATGTATGTCTACTTTAGTAGATCACAAGCTGCTTAAGAACAAAGATCATGCCATATGTATTTCCATATACCCAGGCTCTAGCACAGTGCTTGACACATAGGCATGGAAGACATTTGTTCCTTTTCAAACAGAGCCAGGATGGCCTGCTCACACCATATTAGCAGATTAATAAGGCCGTGACAAAGACAGGACAGAACATAGAAGTTAGGTGTGCCTTCTCCTTCTACCTTCCCGGCCTGGGAGCTCAGCCCTGCACTCTCAGGAGGAAAGCCAACTGGAGTGTTTCTCCACAGAGGCCAGCTGATCTCCCACTCCCTCCCAGCCTCCTACCATCCCACACATACGTGCAGCCAGCAGAAAAATAAATGACCTGGGTGAAGAGATAATACGTGTTTCTTTTGGGTACAACTTAAAATTTGGCAGCTAATAACCTGGCAGTAATGAAAACAGCCTATCACCCTCCCTTAGTCAGCTACACCGAACCACTGCATGCTAGTCCCAGATTGAACAAATCTATATTCCCCTGTCATGAGCCAAATTTAAATTTGAGATGCAGTTATTACTTGTTCTGTAATATCAACAGGAACAATCTGGGAAGATTTAGGTGACCATAAATGTCAGCCTGCAACCAACAGTTGTGACCAGAAAAGGTCAGCTTATTTTGTCATCCCTCATTTTCTGCTGTCCTCTCCCTCCCATTCATTTTATCGCTCAGTCTCAAACTGGTTATAACCTTTTATTGAACCTCTCTGGGTTATCAGAAATGCAGGATATAATTTTACAACACATGTCAGAATCATTTTTGGTTAAGATTCTAAATTTTTCACCTTTGCTTAGAATGATAACAACTTCTGTGAGAAAAGAATGGCTATGTGGTAAACTTAAGTCCCCCGTGAATGTGACGCAAATAGTAAAACCAAGTGGCCTATAAATATTTAACATCATGGAAACAATGATAACTACTTTTAGTTTCAACATACTCACGTTTTATTTTATTATTTTTATACTAATGAGAATATGTAAAGCTTTTATAACAGTGCATACTACATAACAGTAATGAAAGTGCTATATGTTATTATTATTATACTACTAGAGGCCCGGTGCACAAAAATTTGTGCACTCAGGGGAGAAGGGAGGTCCCTCAGCCCGGCCTGTGCCCTCTCGCAGTCTGGGACCCCTCAGGGGATGACCACCTGCTGGCTTAGGCCCGCTCCCCGGGGGATCAGGCCTAAGATGGCAATCAGACATCCCTCTGGCAGCCCAGCAGCCCTTGGGGATGTCCACTTGCCAGCGGGGAGCAGACCTAAGCTGCAGTCAGACATCCTTAGCGCTGCTGAGGAGGCAGGAGAGGCTCCCACCACCACCGCTGTACTGGCAGCCATCAGCCTGGCTTGTGGCTGAGCAGAGTTCCTCCCATGTGAGAGCACCCTGACCACCAGAGGGCAGCTCCTGCATTGAGCGTCTGCCCCCTGGTGGTCAGTGTGTGTCATAGTGACCAGTCATTCCCAGTCCTTCTGCTGTTAGGGTCAGTTTGCATATTACCCTTTTACTATATAGGATAGAGGCCTGGTGCACGGGTGGGGGCCGGCTGGTTTGCCCTGAAGGGTGTCCCGGATCAGGGTGGGGGTCCCGCTTGGGTGCCTGGCCAGCCTGGATGAGGGGATGATGGCTGTTTGCAGCTGGTCACACCCCCTTCAGGGTGGGGGTCCCCGCTGGAGTGCCTGGCCAGCCTGGGTGAGGGGCTGAGGGCCGTTTTCAGGCTAGCAGGTGACTGAAGCTCCCAACCTCTCCTTTCTTTCTTTTTTTTATTCTGGGATTTATTTACCTTCTATGGCTGTCATTGGAACTGAGAGCCGGCTTTAGCTCTGAGGCTCGGCTCCAGCTCTGAGACCTCAGCTGCTGAAAGCAGGTATCTGGGTTTTTTAGCTTCTATAATTGCAACATTGTTTCTTAGAGTGCAGCCCAGAGGCTGGCAGCAGCAGGCAGGGAACCTTGGCTTCCTCCATCACTGGAGCAAGCAAGCCTCCTGTTCGCTTCAGCTGCGTGGCTGCCGGCCGCCATCTTTGTTGGCAGTTAATTTGCATATCGCCCTGATTAGCCAATGGGAAGCGTGTCAGAGGTACGGTTAATTACCATGTTTGTCTATTATTAGATAGGATTATTAATCACTCTTAGAAATGACATGTGAATTACCTCCATTTTGCCAACTAAACACCATGTTATATTCAACAAGATATGTATCAGAAATATTCTTAATTTAAAAAAACAGAGATAACTTTGGGACCTCAAAGACCCATGTATAGGAGATGCTGACTCCCACTTCATAAAGCTTCCCTCATTCTTGGCTCAAATGGCCTAAAAGGCCAGGATGGTGGCCAATGGTGCTAACGAGAGAAATGAACTAACCTGCAAGATTTGCAGGGTAGCCCAGCTGGGATGGCTCAGTGGTTGAGTGTCGACCTATGAACCAGAAGGTGACGGTTCAATTCCCAATCAGGGCATATGCCAGGCTGGCGAGCTCAATCCCCAGTGCAGGACATGCAGGAGGCAGCTGATCAATGATTCTCTCTCATTATTAATGTATCTATCTTTCTCACTCTCTCTCTCCCTTCCTCTCTAAAATCAATAAAAAATATATTTAAAAAGTTAAAAAGATTTGCAGGGTATCATCACCAATACTATTAAGCCCTTCATGCCCAGACTCCGAGGCATGACTAAGAGACTCTCTGCACATCAGTTTTCTGGAATGTAGGGTTTAGGTTAATGATAAGCGGCAATGAGAGAGACAGTTCAGGTCTTGGTCACCCATACTGCTCTGAAACTTTGGCCATCATGGCTGAACCCTAGAAACCACAGTGGGTAAAGGTATCAGAAAGGCTAGAAGGAAGACAGAACCTTGAAGCTATTGCCAAACTGGGTGGACTCTTAGGCTAGAGTCTACCAAATTTTCTTCACAAATTTCTTTTCTTTTGAAGATGATATTTATCCACACACTAAAAAACATTTTTTTCATCTATACGATAAAACGCATTTATTGTCATAACATCCAAAAGTACAGAATCAAGTAAATAAGTAATGGGAAACGCATAGGGTAGAATACCAGATAACCATATAAAGTGACATTTTAGGGGAATGTTTTTAAAGGAGAGAATATTCACAATGTATTCATTAAAAAGTGAAGTTAACCCAGCCAGTGTGGTTCAGTGGTTGAATGTTGACCTATGAACCAGGAGATCACAGTTCGATTCCCAGTCAGGGCACATGCCCGGGGTTGGAGGCTCGATTCCCAGTAGGGAGCAAGCAGGAGGTAGCGGATCCATGATTCTCTCATCACTGATGTTTCTCTCTCTCTCTCTCTCCCTCTAACTTCCTCTCTGAAATCAATAAAATTATGCATAGTATCTCTCACACATACACAAAACAGAAACCAGTGAAACCACATCTAATCTATATTTTGTAAAACTATATGGTTTCACTGGTTTCTGTTTTGTGTATGTGTGAGAGATACTATGCATAACAAAAACACTAATTAGATATATACAGATTAATAATGGGTGGTGAGATCACCAGCAATTTTTATTTCTTTGTGATTTTCTATGTTCTATGTTTTCCACAAAAAAACCATATTCATTACTTTGATAAGCAGAAAAAGCAAAATAAAGGGGGGGAGGGGGGAGTTAAAGGAATAAACCCTTTAACTCTTTCCTCAGAACAAAACTTCAAGAGAAATAGCCAAGTGATCACAAAGAAATAAATCATCAAATCTGTAAAACCAAAGCAGATGACCACACAGTTAGGTCATCTCATTCAAACACAACATTCGTTTCTCTCCAAGTCAGACAGACTCACCGGCTATCTCGGTCCCACAGGAGTATCCGTATGTGATTGATAATGGACGGCTGACCTAGCTTAATCTCAATGCCAGAACGGCAGTCATCATCAATTGGATGCCTGGAAAATCCATGGTCCAAATCATAATTTTGAGTATCACCATCTAGTAAGGCAGATTTCAGCTCCCCCTTTACAACCTGGGCTCCATACTTCATAGTTGCAATGTTTTCTTCTGGTACTACAGTTAAAAATACAAAAAAGCAAGGTTAATGGTTAGTTATGAAATTACTCTATAACTTGGGGAAAAAAGCAAATTCTAGGATAATTACTCTATAACTTGGGGGAAAAAAGCAAATCCTAGGATTCTAGTATGTATATTTAATTTAAAATGGCAGAGACAAGCTTATGAAAACAGAAGATATGCAATGTCTATGAGGATTAAATTTAATGGCACCATCACAGGCACAAACTGCTTGGAACTAATGCTATTAAGAAAAAGTTGATAATACTAGAAAAAACACATGTACTAGCACAAACAATCAGCTCTGCTGAGTTCCTTCTATTAGCAGTTTCAATTTAATATGTACCAGACAAAAACAGCATGTTAGACAAGCATGTCAAACTCAAGGCCCACAACGAATATATTTTGCGGCCCAGCCAATATAAGGGTATGTAAGAAAGGTTTTAATAAAAATTTCCTAACTTAATTTTTACAATGTCCTGTTATACATAATTATTAACAACAAACTACAACATTCGCTAATGACTGATGGCTATAATCGTGTTGCATTCATTTCCCGTATGCGCCTTACGCGCAGGCGCACCATTTCTCTCCACTAATAGTAGCAGCGAATATTTTAGCAGCCGATTGCCATGCCATTTAGTTTTGTACTGACTTGTTTGGTGTGCGCAACAAGAAATAATTCGCTTTTGGAAAACAAGAAAAATAGGTTTATTTGTGTTACGCTTATTAATTTGTGCAGTTATTTAGTATCTGGTAAGTGAATGTTCAAAAAAAATATTAATTTTTATTAAAATGTTCTATTATTTTGTTAACGATTACTCATTTATTTCAGCCCTTTGTATTTAGCATGTCTCTATCAAAATAAACCTATTTTCTATGAAAATTGAAGCTTTTGTTTTTTTGCAGCCTACATAAACTTAAACCTGTTTATTTGGCCCGTGTTAGCCTTTGAGTTTGAAATGCTTGATCTAAGATGACCTATACCTGCCATCTGGACTGAGCACAATGTATAAAGCAGAGCAGACAAGTCAGACATCTCAATAAATAACAAAAAGAGAGGTTCCAATACAACAGAGCTATTGGTCATACATGGATGAGCTAAATCAATCAATCTAACTGAAAAACAAAAATCTATCTAAAACAAGATTTTTTTTTCACTTGAGTATTTTTAAAAATGAAAATTCAGATAGTCTGTCATCAAAGTCAGTATTGTGGTTATAATTAAACACTCTCCCTTTTCCAACAGTAGATTTATTAAGTGTCCACTGTCCTTGAGACTCTGAAGTCCTCTATGCACACTTTGCTTCACAGATCTGGAACCCATACTCCAGGAACTAACATTCTAAAACCGACACTCTCCATGAGAGACCTGAGGCAGCATAAAGTAGACATCAAGAGCTTGAGCTTCAAAGTCAGAGTTTAAATAGTGGGGCTCCACCTTTAACCGAGTGTATCACTTTGGGAAAGTTACCTTCTCTGAACTTAAATTTCTCCATAGGGCAGTATCTATCCCCCAGGTGTTTCCATTTTTTGTTTTTGTTTCAAGGATTAAATGAGATGATGTTTGCAAAGCACATAATAAACTCTAACAAAAGACTGCTATTGTCATTATGAGCCATAATTTTTAAAGCAACAATAAGAGAACTAAGCAAGTTTACACACAGTAAATACTAGTAAATAGTGAAGCCTCATAGTATGTATACATCTGGGCTATGTGATTTGAATAGACTCAAGTATGAGCCATAATTAGGCTCTTAGGGAAAGGGGGTAATTCATTATAGCAGCTCACTTGGAAAATGTGGAGTTTAAAAAATTTTTTCAAATGAAGACAGGTAAGAGAATGACTCTGGGAGACACTAAGTGCAACTGGAATGCAATTGGGATGGGTTTAATTAACTTGCAACTCAGACACAAAACAAACAAAACCTAGTCCCGCTCAACTTCTTACCACCAGAAGTTTAAGTGTCTCAGATTTATAACTTCTTAAATTCTATTAGCTCATGGTAATCATACATATTCTTCATATTTATTTTTCATTTCTTTAACAAACCTTATTAATTCCTTTGACTTAATTCTCATCAAAATCCTTTGAAGTGTAATATTACTACTACATCCATTTTGCAGATGGGGAAGTGTGGGGAGGAGTTTAGATGGACTTTCTTGACTGAGGTCACACGGCGGCCAGTATTAGAGCCGCAATGAGAACCAGGCGGTCTGTCTTCAGGGGCCCTGCTCTGATACCTCCTTCATGAACAGTTTTTGATGGGAAGGACATACTTATCCCCTCTTTCTAACCCCTTCCCTCTAAGGTGACCTAAGCCCAGAGGAAAGAAACAGATAGTATGATATATTTTTAAAAGTTAGACAAAGTGAGAAAACCTAACCTTGAGACTCAGGCTCTACCTGAAACCACTTGGTCGCTGTGAATCTGTTTTCTCATCTAAAAATAACACTTAGCCCAACCGCCCACAAGATTACTGTGAAGGTCATGCTACAAGTACTGTATAAGTACATGCTAAAGTACTGTATAAGTATAGAGTGTGATGAAAAAAAAAAATATTTACTGTGGACTTGTTCTGTACCCCATACCATGTGAGTGTCTAGGACCAGCTCAGTGAACTAGACAGAAAGGCCTGCATCCTGACGCCTCCAATCTAGAGATGAAGCACTTTATAAAGCAAGCAAACAAACAAAAGTTTCAAATTTGTGCTTTTCAAATATCAATGATGTGCAACTAGTTGGTAAGAAGAAACCTGAATAATCCCTTATTGCTGGGCATGAGAGGTGGGTCCAAAGTCTGCTGCTACCGACCACTGAAACCACCTCCTCCAGTTCTGACACCACTAGTCAGGGCCAAGACAACAAAAGGGGGAACTCGAGCTTTCAGATTCAGAAACTGCATTACCCTTTGATTTTCTCTAAACATAAGCTTCTTCACTTATCAAGCTAGGAATAACATACTAGGCACAAGAGTTTCAAGGGACTGTGACGAAAGGTCTAAAATTGAAATGAAACTTCTACCAGAAGTCTAAGTTGTCTTTTGAAGTTTATTTCAAGAGTGCTTGAGAACTTTTCTAACTGTTTTTGATATAGATTCCCAAAAGTATCTTTCATTTCAAAACAGGCAACATTTACAGTGGCAATTCTCTCATGGTAACTATAATCAGAGTACCTCACAGGATAAAAATACAAAACCTATGGCTAAATGATAAATTTAACACAAAAGGTAAACATGAGAAAATCCAAATCATAATAAAATAATTCAAACCATAAATATTCTTATTATTTATATTTGTTTATCAGTAGAGAAAAAAAGCTCTCAAAAATACGGGGTGAGAGATTAAAGAAGCTAGTAGATAATAATAGTTTTCTTTACAGTTGTCATTTTTTATGCATTTTATAAGCATTTAGGAGAAAAGTTAAGTTTTGAAGTTTCACAGCTAGGCAGAAACAAGCCAATTACTAGAAAGAAAAACTAAGGAGAAATGGAGCAGGACCTGCCCCTAGCTACATAATGCCAAAATCTGAGTGGTGCTGGGTTGACTTGTTTTTCTTTCCCTCCTTACATTCTTAACCATCCTTTATTGAACTCTCTGTTACATCTAGGCTGAGGCCATTGCTCACCCCTGATGGATCATTTGGATTCACACTCAGCTCTCTGCAGACTGCAATCTCTTTTCCAGATTCTGCCACTAAATCATCTTCTACTCCCTGAAGAATGATGGACCCTCCCTCCCAACAAGTATATCATCACATATGACTTTCTTGACAACTCCTGTCTCATCTTAACTTTTCCGTTATCTCCACTCTCTGCAGGCCTCCTCCTTTCCACAAGGCACAACAGTGGTCCTTAAACATCACAAAACAGAAACAGAAAATAATCCAGGCTGGAGACTCTATTGAAGAACACTGGCCTCATAAGTCAGATCAGCACTTTGGTTCCAGCTTGGGCATCAATTTCACTCAGTAACTTTACATATCAAGATCAAAGAATAGAAACAGATAGCTCTAGCTGGTTTGCCTCAGTGGATAGAGTGTAGGCCTGTGCACTGAAGGGTCCCCAGTTGGATTCCAGTCAAGGGCACATGCATGGGTTGTGAGCTAAATCCCCACTAGGGGGCGTTTAGGAGGCAGCCAATCAATGATTCTCTCTCATCATTGATGTTTCTATCTTTCTCTCCCTTCTCTTCCTCTCTGAAATCAATAAAAATATATTTTTTTTAAAAACTGAAGATTTAGCCAGAACCGGTTTGGCTCAGTGGATAGAGCGTCGGCCTGAGGACTCAAGGGTCCCGGGTTCGATTCCGGTCAAGGACATGTACCTTGGTTGCGGGCACATCCCCGGTGGGGAGTGTGCAGGAGGCAGCTGATGGATGTTTCTCTCTCATCGATGTTTCTGGCTCTCTATCCCTCTCCCTTCCTCTCTGTAAAAAATCAATAAAATATATTAAAAAAAAAACTGAAGATTTAAAAAAAAAAAGAATCTATATATATAAAAGGCTAATATGCAAAGTGTCCCCTCGGGAGTTCAACTGGGAGACCAGGATTTTGATTGTGCACTATGACATGTGCTGACCACCAGGGGGCAGCGCGGAATGAAGGGAGGCCCCGTCGGGCAGCCGGAAGGCCCAGATTGGCCCTGATCGCTGGCCAGGCCTAGGGACCCTACCCATGCAGGAATTTCATGTACTGGGCCTCTAGTGGAAACATATAAGAGCTGAAAAGGACCTTAATCCTATTAATTTAAAGAAAAAAAAATTCCTAAGCAGCCATCTATGTGATGGTCATTGTGCTGGACTCAGCCCTCTAGCAACTCACCACTTAATAGAGATAAGAGTTCCTATCAGATATGAACTGCCACACAAAGGAATACTCAGTAAAGATGACTTGTGAACTCCCTAGTTTACAGATGAAAATACTGTAAACTATAGTTGGGAAGATACAATAATAATAGAAGTCAAAGAGTTTCAAAAGTATTAATGACTCATTTTTGTTATTGCTTTCTTTATGTGATAGGTGAGACAAATTTTAAATTCTAGTTTAAAAGGAAGGGATGAATTCATTGTCATTTTATTCAGCACTATGCTAGGTGCTGGAAAAACAACTGAAAAGATATAATTACAGTCCTCAAGAAGCTCAGTCTAGTAGGAGTCTAGGCCAAAAAGCAACAACTAAAATATTACAGTGGCAAACTCCATTAGTCTGAGTTACTGGAAACTGTGGGAATAGGTACATGTTACCATGTACCTACAGCACAGATTTAAACACACACACATTTATATATTAATCAATAACTTAGCGGTCCTATGAACAGAGTGACTTTTACTCAATAAAAAAATCCTGAGGATGGAAGTTGTAATATAAATCTTGCTATAAACATGAAGAAACAAGAATTTACTGTTCTCTTTCCCAAAGTCTAAAACCTGAGATAAGCAAAACAAAGTATAACTTAGTCTGAATAGAAAAAGCACTAACTTTCAAGGCAGAAATAAGTATCTCTACAGCTAAGACAAAACTAAACATTAAGAGAATGGTCTGAGTACAAGTAGCTTAAATACCCTAAAGGAAAAAATATTATCATTAAAAGTTAATTCCCTTTCCCCCAGAGTACAGATAAATGCTCATCATTATATATGTACAAAATTAGTCTAAACCAGCTTCCCTGAAAGATTAACCATCACTGGTGAGTTAAAACATCCTTTGGGTCCTCTTTTTTTTTTTTAAGAGGGTAAAAAGCACTATAATTTGGTAAAAACCCTCCAAGATATGCAGCTCTAAGAATTAAACCCCTCAGCAACCAATATTAATGAACTAAAAGAAAAAAATGAGAAAAATGATATTAATCCCTAGTCTCAAGATAAGAACCTCTCTACAATTCATGAAAAGTTCCCAAAGACAAAGAACCCACACCCAGGAAAGAACAAAAAAACAAACAAGTTGTCCAATGATTTCAAAATAAGCAGAACTATTGTTCCAGAACAATAATCTCAGGAACAGTTCTGAAACTTTAGACCCTTTTTTTCCTAACAATAAAGAAATCTATTGAAAGAAATAATGATATAAATGTTTGGATAACATTTACTTAGAAAATAACTTATTTTTTACAATCTGATGGGAAAGTGATATGCTTCCTTAGTAGTTATACTATTGATTTTACTAGTCATATAATTTAAAAGTCAGAAAAACAGACCGCTACTTAATCATTTCTCAAGTTTAGAAGTTAGATAACAGATTCCCAAACATTTGTATAATCTCTTCCTTGGGTTCCCACTGAATTATTCCAAAATAAATAGCTTAACATTAAAGAGGAATAATTGCATATGTCATTCCAGAACCAAGTATCCCTCAACTGGTTGAATTACTCCCTTTCATGGTAATTTCATGGGTTTATTACAACCCAGCTCTGACAACTATAGGAGCAGCTGATCAATTCCAAGCTACCAGTAACTATGTGAAACGTCCTGAGCACTTCCATATTCCTGCAGCAATGTCTGAAGCCTAGCCCTATAACGAACCCAGATACCAGGCTCTATCAGCACCTCAAATCAAAACTAGGGCAAGAAGGGGAAAAAAGGAGTTTATGTAAGGGGATCCAACAATGAAAATTCAGAAAGTCTAAAATTAGGCCCTGGCCAAGTAGCTCAATTGGTTAGCGCATCATCCCAATACGCCAAGGTTGCAGGTTCCAATCAGAGCACATACAGGAAATCAACCAGTGAATGTATAAATAAGTAGAACAACAAATCTCTCTCTCTCTCTCTCTCTCTCTCTCTCTCTCTCTCTCTCGCTCCCCCCCTCCTTTCCTCCTTTCTTCCCCTCTCCCTCTCTTCCTCCTTTCCTCTTTCTGAATCAATAAAATAAAATTACTTACCTTGTTACCCTCCGCCTCCCATCCTCCCACACCTTATCTAGTACTATTCTCTAGCACCTCCAAATCCCTTCCTGGACCTCTCCAAACCTGTTCCCTGCAGCTACCATACGATTTCTCGACTACCTTTCACTCCAATTCACACAGCAGACAGTCAATATATTGTTTTTATTTATTAAGAAAAAGCACCACATAGGTATTGGAAATGCTACATACATGTTTAGCTATTATTATTGTTATTTAGAAGCTGTATGTTCATGCTGCCTAAAATAATAAGTACATAGCATGTAGTTAGCATTGATTTGTTGGAGAAAGAAGAAAAGTTTTGAGGATAATATCTATTTCTTACACTCTAGGGAATAGCTGGAAAATTTGTCCAAGGATGGCAAGAAATACCTATTTGGGAATCTACAACGGCTATGCAATCTCAGGAGGACTATAGGGAAAGGCATTCCATAGGGAGCAGAGCTATATGTTCTTAGACCCAGATGTTCCATATATACTTGCACTGTAGTTTCATAGCTGAGACTGTCACACAATGCAAACAAAACTTTTGGTGAGATTAGAACGAACAGGTACTTACTGAGCATGCCTCTGTAATTGAGGTCCATATCCCGGCTCTCTGATCGAACTTTAATAGCATCCAGAATGGCATCAGGAGACAGCAGTCCCGAAGGCCTCACAACGTTGAGCAGTTCGGTGAGGCTCATCAGAGGCAAACGCACAGCCTGCATGATTTCTGCATGATTCTCCTTTAAATTGTGCTTACACCAGTTGAACAAGGCTAGGAAAATATCTTTTTCGGGAGCTGCAAATGAATCTCTTAATACGATGTTTAAAAGTGCTGTCTGAAAAGGATAACAAGAACAAATTCCAGTTATTATGGAGCTCAACCATGTGCAGTATCCAACAGAACTGCAAGTATCAGTTATATGTAAACAATTAATTCTCTTTGACCATCTTCTCTCCATATTCTATGCCATGTACTTTCTTGCACATGGCTGTGTGAATACCTATAGGCATATTGTACCACTACCTCAAACATCCAGTCTTTCCTACACATCTGCATCCATCTTTTAATAAAAGAAGAAGAAAAACATCAATGTGAGGAGCTGTCTTTCCATACATGTTCTTCAAGAGATACATCTAGCATTTAAAATTCAAAATCTTTTCTTTCACAGTATTACTGCGCTATCATTATTTTTGGTCCTCAGATTTTCAGACTGACCCCAGCAACACTGGTGCAGCCCTCAAAGACCTTGTCTCTAAAAATAAAGTAGGGTAATAAAAATCATAGTTTAAACTCAAAACAAGATGTGTAACTTTCCAAATACTAGTAAGTGTTCTCATTCAAAAGATTCAGGTCCTAAGAGGAACACCGAAAGGGAAAAGAGAGACAACCACCAAGGTTCAGAGAAAGATTTGAGCAAAAAAGTTTTACTCTGGCTATTATTCAGTATAAAACACCATTAATAGTGAATTTTGAACCAGGAAAAAAAAAAAACTGATTTAGAGACATACAGCAACACATCTGATCTCCCTTATGAATTTTCCCTCTCATAATGGAATTATTCTCTTTATCAAAGAAATACAAATTCAAAAAGCAGTATGCAAGACCACATTGAAAACAACTACCTAGCATCACAGTCTCTTTTGTACTTGGAATTTACCAAAAGAACCTAAAAGAAAACAGAAGCAATCTGTCCTTCTCTTATATGATCTAGTCTCAGTAGCCACAGGCAGGTGGCTAGACAGACAACCTCTTCCACACCTTTGACTTTTATTTTTTCTTAGTCCATTGCTGCATTTCTACTGGACAGATATAAACAAGACCATGCATGCCTTTAAGTTCCTTGCAGACAATGACACACCTTAGAAAGAGAGAGGAAGCCTTCGCTTGAGAGCACCTCCTGAGCATTTCTGTCCATAAACATGCAGCACATGCAAGTTAACTTGGGCAGTGAGTAGAGACTGGCAACGTCAAAAGTCATACAGACATTCTGAATGTTGAGTATGGTGCAGAGATACTCAGAGGTAGAATCCTCCAGCTCTGGAAATCCATATTTATGAGCCAGGCTCAGAAAGTCCAGCAGCACCTCCTCCTTCTCATCCGTCAGTGTCGCCCGCCCAGTGTAGATGTACTTGAGTAGCATCGTGAACGCTTCCGCAGTGGTGTCCTGGAGGGGGATTTCTGCTTCTGGCTGAGATTCTCGCATTCCACCATATAGCAATGCTCTGCACGTCAGAGAAAAAAATGCACGAGAAAAACCTCAAGTAAGATTTGCTACAAAATCATGAAGTCACAAGTATCAACATTATACAAACATAAATTTGTTTAATGACATAAAGATTCAGGTAAAGAAGTGCATAGTAATCATTTGAAGTTCTCTAAAGAAACTAAGAGAAATACCTTTAAAACTATTTTGAATTAATTTTATAAACAAGTGAACTAATGAAATATCCTGAAAGCTCAAGACAGTCATTAAATAGACAGATACAAATGCTTTTTGACCTGGCTGGTTTGGCTCTGTGGATAGAACGTCAGCCTGCGGACTGAAGGTTCCCAGGTTCGATTCCGGTCAAGGGCACATGCCTAGGTTGCAGGCTCAATCCCCAGTAGGGGATGTGCAGGAGGCAGCCAATCAATGATTCTCTCTCATCATTGATGTTTCTCTCTCTCTCTCCCTCTCCCTTCCTCTCTGAAATCAATAAAAATACATTTTTTAAAAAATGCTCTTTTGAGAGGAACAGTGAAATCAATATAAACATGTTAAAGGCCAATAAAACAGTTTAAAAAGTAAAACTCTATAGTGGTTAGAATGTTGGTCCTAGACCTAAATGTCACAGGCTCCAGTCCAGGTCAAGGGCACTTACCTGGATTGCAGGTTCAATTCCTGGTCCCAGTCGTGCCCATTCAGGAGGCAACCAATCAATGTGTCTCTCTCGCATCGATTTTTCTCTCTTCTCTCTCTCTTTTTCCCCCTCCTCTCTCCCTCCCTTCCATTCTCTCTAAAAATCAATGGGAAAAAATATCCTCGGGTGAGGATTAAAACAAAAAAGTTGAAACTCCTAAGATTTGGAAACAGCCCAAGTGCCCATCAGTAGATGAATGGGTAAAAAAGCTGTGGGACATTTACACAATGGAATATTTTGCAGCTGTAAAAAAGAGGGAACTCTTACCCTTTGGGACAGCATGGATGGACTTGGGAAATATTATGCTAAGTGAAATAAACTAAGAAAGACAAATATCACATGATCTCACTTATTTGTGGAATCTAATAAACAAAATGAACTGACCAACAAAATAAGACCCGAAGCATGGAGGTACAGGAACAGACTGACATACCTCAATGTAGGGGTGGGGGGACAAGGAGAGATCAACCAAAGAACTTATATACTGTGGAGAGCGGCTACAGCGTTTGGACAGTTTCAAGCCTGGGACTAATGAGAGGGCACGATCCTCTCGTGGCAAAGCCACATGCAAGTCCCAGCACAATTATAGCCAAAGGCTGTATAGTTGTAAGCTTGACCTTATGGTCTGAACCTGTGGTCCCACGTGGCTGAATGATATGGGCTGCGGGAGGTGCAGCAAGTAAACAAAGCTTGATCAGGTGCATATAATTGAGTAGATTTGAAACCTTTGAGAACGTTGTAACCACGCCCTTACTTTGCCTGGTGGAATCTGGCTATAAAATAAAGACTCACCTTGCAGGCCATGGCACTGCCTCTCCATCAGAAAGGGCAGCATCCCACCTAGCGCCCAGCTTTATTCTCTTTTCTGTCTTTTCTAAATCCTTCACCGCCCCTCTCAGGTTCACCCATGGCTGTGCCGGCTTGGCACAATATACTTATATGCATAGCCCATGGACACGGGCAATAGAGTGGTGAAGACCTTGGGGGGGGGGGGCAGGTAGGAGCTGAGTGGAGGGGGTAAAGGGGGAAAAATGGGACACATCTGTAATACTGTCAACAATATATATACACACACACATATATATACTTACACAATTATATATATGTGTGTGTGTATATATATATATATGTGTATATATATATATATATATATATATATATATATATACTTTTTAAAAAATCTCCCTAGTAGAAAAGCTGAAGAAAACAAAAAAGTAAAACTCTATAGAAAAAATATAATCAGTTAAAAACAACTAAACACAACCAGGTGCCATTCTTCCCTGTTAGACTGACAAATTAAAAAACCTGTTAATATTCAGTGCTGCAAAAGCAATGGAAAAACAGGTTCTTGCATGCACTGCTTTGAGTATAAATGGGCACCCCTTTTTGGAAAGTAATTTAAGTACTATCATTTCAAATCTAAAAGATGCATACCCTCAACTCAGTAATCTCACTTACAGGATTCAGCTCTAGAGATATAATACAGCATGATTGTAAAGAGAAACTTATAAGAGTAGATACTGAAACAACGGAGACACTGAAAAAAATCTTAAAATGTCAACAGGAATGTGATTAAAAAGTTGTGATATATACATTCTATGCAGCCATTAGAAAGATCAAGGAAGGGCAATATATCCTGTTTGTAAAGATGTCCAGGAGATAGCAGTTATGTTGCAGATCAGATCCATGTGTTGAGTAAAAAAGTGTACAGCACATACTTGTATGTGTATGTACATAGGTGTATATATAGATACTAGAGGCCTGGTGCACGAAATTCGTGCACTTGGGGGGGGGGGATCCCCTCAGCCCAGCCTGCGCTCTCTTGTGGTCCAGGAGCCCTTGGGGAATGTTGAGCATCTGCCCCCTGGTGGTCATTGCACATCATAGCGACCGGTCATTCGCCGTTTGGTCAATTTGCATTTTAGCCTTTTATTATATGGGACACCTATTTATATTGAGAAAAATCAGGGAAAATTCATATTAAACTGTTAACAGTGGTTGTCTCTGGGGAATGGGATTAAGGTGGCTTGGAGGAAAGGGCTTTCATTGTTACTTTATAAATTAAAAATGAAATTGAAGTTGGTAATGGAATTATGGATGATTTGATTTTTTTTGGTCTTTCAGTATTTGTCAGATTTTTAAAAATCCCCACATTATTGCTTATCTGCTCATCTAAAAATGAAAATTAGAAAATTCCATAATGTACTGAATTTTAATTTCTACCTCTATTACTCTGGAGAAATAATAAGAACCAATTAAACTTTCACTCTATCATAAAAGAAAGGGCGGCCGAACGATGACAAAGGAGGAACGCAGAAAAGGAAGAGTACAGAGTGAGACAGAAAACAAGTAAAAGTGAGAGCAAGAGAATAAGGGGGCAAAAAGAGATTCCCCCTGCTCCTAACACTCTCAGAGCAGGACTAGCATTTCAAGGGTTCTCTCCACACCGGCCAGGAACTCTTCTCACCCTCCCCCAGGATCCAACATTATTGATTGGCTCAGGAAAATAGCTGAAACCATCCAGCAAAAAAGTCATGAATAGTCTGAGCATAAACCTCATTGGGTTATGCTCTTCCTACAAACACTCTTGAATGTTTTCATTAATCTAGAGAACATTCAACCTCAACTTTAAAATGGCTAGATTAAAAATGCCTTCCTCGGAAGATCTCACCGAGGAAGACTTACTCCAGCGTGACCCATGATATTCACATGGATTCTCAATGCTCTAAAAGTGGCTTTGATGAAGCTCCTTGGGATCCTAAATGTGAGTTCCAACTTGTGGAACTCAAGTTCCCTCCTGTACAGTCAGTTTGTACTTATTTGGGAACTGATAGGTTCTATGACAACACTTAGTAAAGCCTCTCCTGACTACTGACAGTTAGTTGACCTACCTTAGCACAGGAACGGTGTCTGCAATGAGAATTTAAGGCATCACTGGTAATGACTCTGAGTTTAGCCTTGTGAGCCACCAGACATTAAGGTTCAACATCCATAGACATTAAGAACAAGGTCAATAAGTAAGGAGAGTACACTCCATTCATTCAATATGATCTTTAATTTTTTAAAGTATTTGAGTTTCTTTTAAGAATATACTGATTACCTAAAATATACCCACATATAGTTGTCTCAAATTATTTTTGAAAAAGGATAAGGTATAAACTATTGACAAATATTAAACATAAAGCTGAAAAGTTCTGACTTAATAAAGAATGAATTCTTCAACCTGGCCGTGTGGCTCAGAGGTTTAAGGTCAAACAATAAACCAGGAGTTCAGAGCTCAATTCCAGTCAGGGCACATGCCCGGACTGCGGGCTCAATCCCCAGCAGGGGATGTGCAGGAGACAGCTAATCACTGATGCTCTCTCATCACTGATGTTTCTATCCCTCTTTCCCTCTCCTTTCCTCTCTCTGAAATCAGTAAAAACATATTTAAGAAATAAAAGAATGGACTCTTCAAAAAACACTAATAGTGAGTGAACCAAAAGTAAGAAATGGGAAAGAAACACAAAAAGTGTGCAGAGGACAGAGGTTGGTAACAAATAATGACTAGAGCAAGGCCATTAGCAAGAGGAATCGGAGAGTGTTAGCGAGAACTCTTAATAGAATCCTCTTTTCTAGGCTCCTCGCTTCATCTACAGTGGCACTTTATATGTAAGCTGGAATGCTCTACAAATTGTTATCAGTTCTATAAAATTCTCATCCAGTAGTAAATATTTATAAGAGACACACTTTCCTGTGTGACTCTAGGTGTTGCTATTTCATTGCCTTAGTTATTTCTGATTATAAAATTTAGACTGCAGTTTTCACTAGAGGGTAACTTGAATTTTTTTCTTAGCCATCAGCATCTCAATTTTAGATATCAAGTTTCCCATGCAAATCAATGACTTTAAGGATATAGACCAATGGATTTATCAAAGATACATTATCATTCAGTGATGACTCCCTTTTAACTAACATTAGGTATAACTCAGAGTAATTAGAGCTCACTTTAACATTTATCACCCTGGAAATTAAGGGTTTGAGTAATAAACAATAGCTTCATATTAAGTACAATTTTTACATTAATTAAATGCATAAATATTTTGTCTAGTTTTAGTTCTAGTATAACTATGAAACAGTATCAGAAAATAGTTGTTTTATTTAGCCCTAGTCAATTTGGCTCAGTGGATAGAGCGTCGGCCCATGGACTGAAGGGTCAAGGATTAAATTCTGGTAAAGGGCATACCTTGGTTGCAGGTTCGATCCCTGGCCCTGGTCAGGGCGCATGCAGGAGGCAACCAATCAATGTGTCTCTCTCACATTGCTGTTTCTCGCTTTCTGTCTCTCCCCATCCCTCGCACACTCTCTAAAAATCAATGGAAAAATACTCTCGGGTAAGGATTAACAACAAAAAAAACTTGTTTCTAATTTGGGGCTATCAAATGCTTGTCTTAGAGAGAGATCTGTTGAGTTACCTACAGGTCCTGGAACTAAGAGGTATTCAAGTTCATTAGAAAGTCCAGAGGACCATCTGTCTGTACAATGAGAAGCCTATCTGCCAATATATCAATTAAACTTCCATTAGTAATCAATGGTGAGAAGAAGGTGAAGGCAACAAAGACTCAGCCTAAGATATATTCTTGAGATCTTGAAAATTGGTGGATTGGGTACAGCCTAGCCCCGTGGTCGGCAAACTGCGGCTCGCGAGCCACATGCGGCTGGCTCTTTGGCCCCTTGAGTGTGGCTCTTCCTAAGCCTTAGGAGTACCCTAATTAAGTGAATAACAATGTACCTACCTATATAGTTTAAGTTTAAAAAATTAGGCTCTCAAAAGAAATTTCAATCGTCGTACTGTTGATATTTGGCTCTGTTGACTAATGAGTTTGCCGACCACTGGCCTAGCCTGAGGAGCCTTCTAACCCTATAGTTCTAAAATGGTTTCTGAAGAAAACAGTGATTTTCAAAAAATAACTAAAAGTCTACAAAAATGAAATTCTTATAGATGTCGAATGGAAGGATTGCTAGTATTTATTGTTATGCTATGTTACATATTTTTTGTTGTGTTACATATTTTTATAGAGTAAAAAATATCAATGTTTCTACAAGTTAACTTGAATCTTCAGAAAGTATTACAGACTTACCGAAAATATTGGCACCTCGCTGCTAAAATTACCCGGTGGGCAGGAAAACGTTTCTTTTCCACAACAAATGTGACGTCACCATATTCTTCCCCAATCAACAAGGCACCGATATGTTCAGACAAAATGTGCACATGATCAATTTCCCCCACTGCAGTAAAGGGGCGAAGTGGGTGGCTGTTACTCATCTTGTAGAAGAGATAATAGTCGCTGATCTAACATGAAAAAGGGATGAAAGTTAGTGTGGGGGGGGTGAAGAGGGGGAGAAGAATACACGTAAAAAAATCACGTACTATAAACATAGCTAAATAAAAAATTAAACTACATACTTTAAAACACTCACATGAGAGAGGTTTCATCATTATTGATATCTTCATTAACCCATTTACTGTGGGAAGCAATTCAGCCTGCTTCCATTAACACACTACCTTCACTGCCTTTTCACACTAGGAAAGCAAAAATAAATGCCAGGGTCCTCAAATACTAGCAGCACATAGAAATATCACAATCTAGGACTCTGTGCCAAATACAGGTCCCTTACTTCTCAGTATCTAAGGAAAAAGAAAATCAACCACCAGAAGAACTCTTTTAGCACAGAGAGATTTAATAAGGTGGGTATAACTAAATAACCTCAGCAGAAATGCATTCAGGCATAGCTCTAGACCTAAATCACAAGAAGAATAAACTAAATCATCATATTTCAAATATTTTCAGAGGTTTGAGTCTAAGATCATCTTAAATATTTTCTAAAAAATACCAATCTTCTGTATTCACAAAAATAACGACATTTATTAAAGAAAATTTATAGCAAGCATCTTAATCCCCCTCAAAAAAGGAATAACCCCAAATATTTTTCTCAAGACTAACTTCTAGCCCAAACTTCCAGCTCTAATGATCACATCGCCTAGGGGCTACCAGGACATCATTATATTTAATCTCATTTACAGGCACTTCTTGTAATGCCTTTCAACATGTTAACTGAAAATCAAAAAGCCAAAACTTAATGAACATCTTCACGTTAGAAAAGGAAGTTACGTGCTTTGAAGTTAAAACTGTTTATATTCTTAAATCTCTAATGTATTTGCAGGTATTACTTTTCAGTTACAAGTAACCTAGGAAGTGGATGAGAGCCTTCACCAGCATCCAGGGGCCGAGGTGGAGATTTGGTCCATAGCTCGGAGGTGAGTCAACTACCCTCTGCTGCACCAGAGACTAGGGGAATTGAGCCAGATATGCTCTCTCCACTAGCCCTCCACACCTTCCAGAACTTTCCACTTGGACCAGGAAGGATTGAAGGTTAAGCCACTCCTAATCTTTAAACTTTCACATCCAAACCCATTATTAGCAAAGTGTATTAAAAATGATATTTATCCCCAGAGACTGCAGTGGGAGAGCCTCCTGATCCAGGTTCCCCAGTTACCTGCTACTCCATGACCATCCCCAACAGAGGGAGCAACAGCGAGGACTGTGATGTAGGGGAACATGGAGGATGTGAGTTAGGCAAACAGACACCCACCCCACGTAAGTAAACAAATATGGTCCCCCATATTAGGAACATCAGAGGGTTAGCAGCATACGCTTCAATGCCAAGGCAAATCCCTTTCCCCCAATTGCAACCTCCATTGGAAAGCCCTAAAAACAGAATCATCTCCAGTCACCTGTGCATGAAAGGCCAAATTCAGCTTAAGAGGATCAACTTAAGGAGTGTCAGTAAATCATGTGTGACACAACAGTCTACCACAGGAACTGGCAAACTTTCTGCAGAGTCAGAGAGTAAGTATTTTGGGGCTCTACAGGCTATGAAGTCTCTGTCAAAATACTATTCAACTAAAAGCAGCCACCGACAGTAAGTACATAAACGAGCATGGCTATGTTCCAATAATCCAGCCAGGAGAAGGCTGGATTTAACCTTCAGGCCATAGTTTGCCAATCCCTGCTCTAACATATGATCAAGGGTTGACTGTAAACTAGACAAAGGTTCAAACTGCTTTAGTTTTTGTTTTGGTTTCTGGCTAGATTACACAACCAATGTTCAAAATAACATGGTCATTTCCTATATCAGCCATAAAATTCTGAAAGTGACTCGGACCTGATTTTAAAATCCCATTCCTCTTCAACACAAACTCTCACATCACTATCTAATAAAGGGTATCCAAAAAAAAAACTTTATACACACACTTTGAATAATTATAAAAGCAGTGTTTATTAAAATACATTTCATTTTCAAAACTGAGCCACCAGCTGTTCAAGTGTATATACATTTTTTTGGTACACCCTGTATTTCCCTCAATGAAGGTGCATGACTCTGAACAAAACTGACACTCTTCTGGCTGAAAAGATGCAATGCATACACAGACATACCTCAGTTGCAGACCACCACAACAAAGTGAGTACTGCAATAAAACAAATTGTAATCTTTTTGCTGGTGGAAGTTCTTGCCTTTAATTTGTAAAAAATGCAACATATATGAAGCACAATAAAGAGAATTGTAATAAAATGAGATGTGCCTGTACCCAGTAAATATATTCTCTATTATAACATTCTCTTACATCATGAGTAAGATTCGAAGGATTAACTAAATGACTCTTGATGCACAATAATTAGTTTTTGGTTAACTAGCTCAAAAGTAAATGTATAATCCTTCAATTGATACATAATAAACATTAATACTACATATGTAAATATCATAGGTTCTCTAGATCTGTACTTCTTAGTCATAGAATTTCATTTTGCTAAATTTACATTTTTATTATGCTTTTCCAACTAAAGACATAAAGCTAATATTGCCGGGTATAGAAAACAGCCATTTAGTATGGAATAAACACAATTTTTATTGGCATATAGAAAGAATTTTAATTAGACAAGATTCTCAATGAGCTTGCCACATATTGGATTCACATGGGGAGCTTAAGAAGAAAAGAAAAAGATGATTGAGCCCCACCCATCAGAGATTCTGACTTAATTGGTCAAGTCACTTTTCTGACTTGATTCTAATGAGCAACCTGGAAAAGAGCCACTGAGCTAGACTCTGTTGTAGATTCACAACCCTCACTCAGGTGCATAAATATACAAGTAAAATACCAGCTGAGAAAGTTCATTTTTAGGATATGATTCCATTTTGAGGTGTGTTTTTTTTAATATATTTTTATTAATTTCAGAGAGGAAGGAAGAGGGAAAGAGAGAAACATCAATGATGAGAGAGAATCATTGACTGGCTGCCTCCTGCACGCTCCCCACTGGGGATCGAGCCCACAACCTGGGCATGTGCCCTTGACCAGAATCGAACCTCGGACCCTTTAGTCCGCAGGTCAACGCTGTCCACTGAGCCAAACCAACTAGGGCTCCATTTTGGGTTTTATTGCAAAGAGGCAAATGGTGCTAACAAGTTACCAGTGTGACAGCTTGTGTGCAGAAAATACTTTCACCTAATTCTGTAGCTTATCTATAAAGTCACAGTTTGTGTCCACAGCTTGCTTTTTTTTAAAAAAGCATGTTTTAGAAACAACAAACCAATAAACTTAATTTTTTAAATGATCTATTTTAATTAGCTAGATAATATTGGAAAAATTTTAATTTTACAAGACAAAACTGTTTATTGATTTGTTTCTTAAGCTTTGAAACTTATTCTGTTACTAATGACATAGGTGATCTTTGACAAATTTTCTAGCTTCCGTGAGATTGTTTCCACACCTGTAATGACATGGTTACATTAGGGGTTTTTTAAGTATTATTTTTTAACTCTGCCACTACTTTTTATTATCACTGTTTTGGGCTTGTCATATAAGAAATGGACTCTCATGACTCAGCATATGGCCATGCTCATGGCTGTTATTTATTAAAGCAAAAGAATACAGAGCAAAATAAAAAAGCACGTGGGGCGAAGGCCCTCAGACGTGAGGGTCCTCTCCCAATGGAGTAACATTGGATGTGCTTAATTCCCCCACAAAGCGGTGACAGCACTAGTTAAATGTTGCTAACCAGGAAGCTTGCTAGAGACTCAATACCCAGGGTGTTTAACAGGAGGCTGTTAGTGTAGGTAGCCCTTGCCTTGCCTGTATCTAAATTCCAGACTCCAAGAAGGAAAGCAGCATTCAACATAAACCACACTGCTTTTACAGTTTAAATGAGCCACTCTTATCAATTAATGGCAGGAACCCTTCTAAAATCCAAGTTTTCAGATACCGAGTAAGGGACAACTTTGCAAGCAGGCCTTTCTAAGGATAAAAGTTCAATCCTGCTATGTTAACTTTATTTGTATAGCTCCAGAAACCAGAGGATCTAACAATGTTTGCAAAAGCACTGAAAACAAGGAGTCTAAGAACCTATCTGATACATGTACTAGTACTTACTCTTAGATTTGGATAGGAGAATTATACTAAGAAAATAACCTACCCCACCTGACCAAATGTATTTCTGGCCCCTGACTTGGCAATATGCCAGATCCAAACAGTTTTAAGGACAGATTTCTTCAAAACTTTAAAGATCACATAATTCCAACTATTCCTGTGCATAAGAGAAAAAAATAAAGTTTTCTGCTTCTTCTTATGAAGCCAATGTAACACAAAGATATGACCACAACCACACACTCAAAAATCAGTATAAATGAAAAAAACCCTATGTAAAATATTGGAAAATAGAATTAATCAGGATTCATGACAAAGTGGGTCAATTCCAAAAGGATGAAGAATATTAGGGAAAAGAATTAAGTCATCAAATTACAAGGTCAAAGGAGAAAAGTAATATAAATTAGCTCAAAAAAAGTTAAAATAACTTTTTATACAATCTAATCTAATAAAAGAGAAACATAACTTGACCGTACTTTTGCAACACCTACAAGCCACGTCCACCAGCCAATCAGGAGCAAATATACAAATTAACCCAACTAAGATGGCGCCGGCCATGGAGCTGGAGCAAGCAGGAGGCTTAGGTTGCCCCTGGCAATGGAGGAAGCCAAATTTCCCGCCTGCCCTGCTGGCCCTGAGCTCCGCTCAAGGCTACAAAGTTTCAATTATAAAAGATAAATAGACCCCAGATACCTGCTTCCAGCCGGCATGGCCCCCGCTCAAGGAGGGGCTAGGAGCCTCTGTTGCCAGGGGCAACCCAGGCTTTCAGGACCTGGGCTCTACTCAAGGCTACAAAGTTTCAATTATAGAAGATAAATAAATCCCAGATACCTGCTTCCAGCCCGGGGCCGTAGCCAGCCTGAAAACGGCCA